TTCGAATACATGTATACCGCTACATCTCCTTCACAGTAGTAATGTTGTGCTTGTGTGCGTGTTTGTGTTTGTGTGTTTTGAAGCTACATGTATGTGGGAGAGAGATTTTGCACGACATCATTTTGGAAGGAACGTGAAAATTCGTGTCGGAAATGGCCATTTGAACGTGAGCGAAGTGGTCGAATCCGAAGTGCGCTGGACCCAGGGCTAGGTAACCATTGGCCGATAGTGCCTGCAGAAAATTGACAGAGGTTGGTACTTTTTAATCAACCAAAACAACTCCAAGGCGACAATCACGTGCCACGCCTTCAGGTCCAGAAAACCCGTGCGGCACGCGCCGTATTCGGCCTGCCACCTCGCACAAGCGCCCAACCTCTGCTTGCTCGTCTGCAGCTGTATGGCATCGAAGAGCTCCACATGCAAAAGAACCTTATTATGATCTGGCGTTGCTCGAATGGTCGGGCAAGCAATGCACTGCAAGCCCTTCTGGAGCGTCCCAGTACTCGAACAACGCGCGCGCACCGCAGCTTGGGCCTTCGAGTGCCCAAAATGATTTGCCTCCAAAGCCGGCCATGAGTCCCCCACGGCCGTCCAACCGCTCGCGGGTCCATTTTACGGAACACCCTGCCATCCGACGTGCGTGGTATTACCCAGTACCACCAATTCAAACAAGCCTGCCTCCCGTTCTGTCTTGCTAGCAGCAGCACCCACTACTGAACACTGCAGGAACCTTTGAACGTTTGCGGTACTCCACAGTACCAGTCATGTGCTGTTACCGCCTCCCCGGTGTTGTATTCTAACGTTAGCGTTATTCATTGACTGAGCGTTCTTTGCTTTGCACTACACCCTGCCATCATGTTAGGCTATTTCCTACAATATTTTATTGTTTCCATTCGCTTCCATGTAATTGGGCGACACCGCCCGTTTGGTTCTGCGAATTCAAAAACAAATGTACCAACCTGCACGCGGGAACGTGCAAATCACACCACATCCGAGAGGTAAATTTACACTACCCTACAGTGCAGTGTTCGCCACTGTACTGTACGAGGGTAGTGTGACAATAGTAGTGAGGTTTTGCATTCAGAATTTCGGTTCGGCGTTCCTTGGTCATTTGTCGAACAGCAAATTTCATGACGGTAATGTAGAATTTTCGAACCAACGTTTGTTTTGAAAGTCGAACTTCATGTGTTTTCATTTCGTGACCTCCAGCATAGCCCTTTCCCAAAGGTGCTCTTTTAATTCGCACTTAGTGCTTTTCGCGTCCCTCAAAATATGCTGAAAAAGTGCTCTTTTTTCAGTGAAAACAGGCAAAAAGTGCTCTTTTTCAGTGAAGCATAGCCATGATCAGGGAGTCGTAAAATATATTGGTATTTTACTACTCCCTGGCCATGATACATGTTCAGATATGAACCCAAGCTGAGAAATGAATACGCACTTTTCCATCTACATGTACATGTATGGGTCCACGAAAGGCAAAACAGGAAGTAAAGTTCAAAAAATCCACTTTTTTCAGCATTGTGTACAAAGACTAAGTACAAGCTTCACCAACTTGTTGCCCCCAAAAAAGCGGCGTGCCAAGGCCCATCGTCCATCGAGCACTCGGAAACTGTGATCGCACGCAGGGAGTAGTACAATACCTACATAATTATTGTACTACTCGATATACTCCCTGATCGCATGCATGAGCTAACTGATTTTAGCATTTTTTCAGCTAAAAAAGCTCAAAAAGGGCGATATTCACCAAAAAACGCAATAAAGGGCGAAAGAAACGGGCTTTCCAAAAAGGGCAAAAAGGGCGAGCACCTTTGGGAAAGGGCTACTCCAGCATCCCGTGCTCCTTTTCTTTTATTTTTTTACTTATTTATTTATTTTTTATTTCTTGCTGGTTCCAACCAACCTGTGATCGCCCAAAGAGTAAAGGCCAGGGCCAAATCTGCCTAGTCAGTTGCCCCACAAGAACCAACCCTATGGTTTTATGCGTATCGCCGCAGTCTTTTCAGCCACACTGATGATGGTGAGGATCATGTGACTCCATGCGAAAGGAAGTAGCCACGCATTGGAGAGATAGCTGACGATGCTCGTGTCGCCGAAGTCGCCTGCGAGAGCCATGCCGCGCTAAGAAATGTCTTTGAATAAATCACTCGCCAGCGCTCTTCTGCAAGAGAATTATTCCGAAAAATAACTTCAGCCCTTGTGAGCTTTTCCGAACAAACATGCCGAATCTTAGAGTGTATTTTCGACCTGGCTCTCGCGTGCCGAATCTTTTGCCGAATTTCGGAATGCAAAACCTCACTACAAATAATTCGACCTGATTATCAACTCCCTCGGGAGCAGCGCCCGCGCTCTCCGACGATAAGGCCATTGCAGGCTAGACTGTGGTGCTAACGCGGCTCTGCCCTTCTCGCACGGTTTCGCTGTTTTCAGTTTTCACCTGCCGGCGATCATTAGAGAGGTTAAGATGCACGTTATTTCTGACGTGACGCGAAAGTTCAGTTCGCGTTATTTGCTCGCACGTCGAAAAATCAACGCGAGTGACCTGCTACTCACGTCGAAATTTGGAGTTTTACGCCAAATTTGACGTGAAATTGCGCGTCACGTCGGAAATAACGTGCATCTTAAGTTCTTAAAGGGGAAGTTAAGGCAAAAATTAAAATTTCACCAGTTGTTGTCTTCGGGGTGCTGAGTTGAATGGTCCTGGTCCGAGGAAGTTGAGACGCTCCCTTCCTACTTGAATCCCAATCGAACTCGCGCACTTCCACCGAAACTGGGTGACTGCGCCCTACTAGATGGGGATTTGTATGCAAAATGTCACTAAAAGCGCCATCTCGTTCTTATAAAAGCACGGATGACCGCGATTGGCCCATATGTTGTAGTCTTTTGGACGCTGAGTCGATTGGTTTTGGTCCGAAAAGGCTGCGATGCAGCGTTCCTCCTTTATTCCCAATCGAACATGCTTGAACAAGCGGTCACGTGCTCCTGCGTACGCCAGTCACCTGGCCACCGTGCCTGCAGGGTACAACTTACTAGCCTGTTTGACCTTTTTGGGTGCAGTCCTGTCACTCGAGTTGAACCTTGGTGTGAAAGTTGTCGCCTGCTGGCGTGGGGACCAGGTGATTTGGGCACCCAGGAGCACGTGACCGATTGTTCAAGCATGTTCGATTGGGAATAAAGGAGGAACGCTGCATCGCAGCCTTTTCGGACCAAAACCAATCGACTCAGCGTCCAAAAGACTACAACATATGGGCCAATCGCGGTCATCCATGCTTTTATAAGAACGAAATGGCGCTTTTAGTGACATTTTGCATACAAATCCCCATCTAGTAGGGCGCAGTCACCCAGTTTCGGTGGAAGTGCGCGAGTTCGATTGGGATTCAAGTAGGAAGGGAGCGTCTCAGCTTTCTCGGACCAAGACCATTCGACTCAGCACCCCGAAGACTACAACTGGTGAAATTGGGGAAGTTAAGGCAAAAATTAAAATTTCACCAGTTGTAGTCTTCGGGGTGCTGAGTCGAATGGTCTTGGTCCGAGAAAGCTGAGACGCTCCCTTCCTACTTGAATCCCAATCGAACTCGCGCACTTCCACCGAAACTGGGTGGCTGCGCCCTACTAGATGGGGATTTGTATGCAAAATGTCACTAAAAGCGCCCTTTCGTTCTTATAAAGGCACGGATGACCGCGATTGGCCCATATGTTGTAGTCTTTTGGACGCTGAGTCGCCTGGTTTTGGTCCGAAAAGGCTGCGATGCAGCGTTCCTCCTTTATTCCCAATCGAACATGCTTGAACAAGCGGTCACGTGCTCCTGCGTACACCAGTCACCTGGTCACCGTGCCTGCAGGGTACAACTTACTAGCCTGTTTGACCTTTTTTGGGTGCAGTCCTGTCACTCGAGTTGAACTCGAGTTGAACCTTGGTGTGAAAGTTCTCGCCTGCTGCGAGTGCTGGCGTGGTGACCAGGTGATTTGGGCACCCAGGAGCACGTGACCGCTTGTTCAACCATGTTCGATTGGGAATAAAGGAGGAACGCTGCATCGCAGCCTTTTCGGACCAAAACCAGTCGACTCAGCGTCCAAAAGACTACAACATATGGGCCAATCGCGGTCATCCATGCTTTTATAAGAACGAAATGGCGCTTTTAGTGACATTTTGCATACAAATCCCCATCTAGTAGGGCGCAGTCACCCAGTTTCGGTGGAAGTGCGCGAGTTCGATTGGGATTCAAGTAGGAAGGGAGCGTCTCAGCTTTCTCGGACCAAGACCATTCGACTCAGCACCCCGAAGACTACAACTGGTGAAATTTTAATTTTTGCCTTAACTTCCCCTTTAACCTCTCTATTGCATTTTGGAAATCATCCTCCAAGCAAGTATCATGTCGCCGAAGCTTTTAGTCCTGGATCGATACGGTCGGTGCCTGATCCCTTACCATGTACCAGGGGATAGAATACTGATGTTACAGTAAAAAAGAAATGCGTGAGCTCCTTGGAGGCATGCGACACTATGCGCTGGAGAGCTACATCCGCTGTGGACTTTCATGATTGGTTTGAAGTGGTGTTTGTGCAGGGCACACAGTCAGTAGATCTCCATGCTCCGCGATGTGACCTTGTTGGCCGGAAAACACGACCTGCCGTGTAGTGGAAATACAAAACACTACACTGGACTTTAGCGCTAGGCCTACAATAGGGCAATAGGGCACGAGCTCAAGTGGAGGAACGCCTTTAGAACTGAGAATCACGAACTCAATGCAGACTCACACTCACAGCCTAGCCTACGGCTACGGGCTCGCACGTGAATGCTCGCGAAATCTGCAAGTGCGAATGCTTCGTTCGACCTGGGCAGCCTGAGATGTGTAGACTGTGTTTGTGTCCTGGTTTTGTGTGGTGCTATGCGTGTTGCTTCGGAGACTGGCGCGAAGTTTACATGATCATCGTACTTGAGTGTAGACTGTAGTGGTGAATCCACGCTAGCTATGCAGTTTCAGGCCAATCGCCATTTGCACCTGCGTCCGCAAAGGAAACATCGTTTCTCATCATCAAAAACACCAGACTCCGAAGCTTGCACCAGCTTTGTCAGTGTATGATCAGGCCGCTTCTACTTTCCCTGCATATGGTGGATATCGGCTAGTCGTAGGGAATCAATGCCTTTGGCGCAGGCAAATGATTTGAACCACAAAGATCAGCATCGAGATTAGCTTTGTGCACGGCCAGGGTGTGTGGTGTGAAGTCGAATCCTCCTGAGTCCGTACCGTGAAAACCGGTCGCCGACATCACCATGTCCAGAACATTCGGGCCAGAACACCCCGCTAGTCAAATGTTCCAAATATTTGTTTTATTCCTGTATCTGTGGAGTTTCGCCGCTGCCGAAATTCAACATCTTCGCCCGGAAGACTACGAAGGATTGGTGGTGACGAACGCTGAGCAGGTAGCGTCCACCGATGCCGTGCTGGAAGACTTGCTGAGCGGCCATGCCCTCCATCCGATGCATATGGGAAAGGGTGAGTGAACAAAGTGTTCGGTACAAGAAAATTAATGATGGATTGTTGTAGCTGGAATTTGAGGACATGCGAGTGCGCGTGTCGAGTTCTTGAGGACAGTATAAGCTGAGTTGATGGCAACATCGTGAGGTGTGGGATAGTGTCGTTGTGATGCCTTCGTGTCCAGCTAGGAGAAATGGGACTTCGTCTACTTCGGACGAGAAAAACAATGTTGAAGTACGATTAAAGTCAGGTTGTGTTCGTTATGATTTGTGGGTGATGAAAATGGGGGGGGGGGGGGTCAGATAGAGCGTAGAAGGTTTGAACTGGAGGTCATCCAGCTTCACAACTGAATCCCTGTGATGCGAAGGAAGACAAGATGGAGTGAAAGATTATGTCAGAACAATTTTTTTTAAATCTATTACAAGATACGTTGCAGAGTTGAACCAGCAATAGGTCTAGATAGTTATAGGTGGTACTACACAAACAGTGTGAATGTGTCCTGCTGGGTTTTGGAGAGGATACCCGTTTCCATCAGGTGCAAACATTTGGAAGCCCTTCATGGATCACTTTGGTATAATTATTAATATTATGTCAGTGTGAATGCTCAGCGAACCAGCATTCGAACAACTAAGTCAATAGAGGAATTCTGTGCCAGAGTTAGGCAAAGTTAGGCTCTGAAGGTTATAGAGCTTGCGTGTGCAGGCCTGCGTTTGCCCCCATTTTGCGAGGTGTGTTGTCTTGATCACCATATCATACCGTGTCAACAACACAATACACTTGCAGAGACGGGTAAACTATAACGTTATTGCTGTAGCTCTCACGTTCACACATTTTTTTCCTACAAAATCCACATAATTGTCTTCAGACACTGGGGTGAATAATGGAGTGTGGCGGTGGGGGCCATTATACGCTATCATCGTCCAGTACACTGGTGCATCTCGCACCCAGTGACAAGTGTGTCTACACAAAACACATAAAACAGATGTAGTGGTCAGGAGGAAGCCATACTTTCTTTGCTCATTGATACCCAATGCTGGAGACAGCAAGCTGTTTCGGCCGTATAAGCTTCAGCAGTACAGCTTTGAGCTAAATAGGCCGAGCTACCAGCCATGGTGCAAAGGAGGCACCACAGACATTAAGATAACTCGTCGCTCTAGCGCCAAAGTGCTCTAGCTACGCAAAGGAGCGGGCATTGCGTAATGCAGCAGCACTAGAGCAGCCTACCGAGAGTGCTCAACAAGACACATGTCGAGGAGCGCAATACCCAATGCTGTAGACAGCAAGCTGTTTCCGCCGTACAGGCCTCATCAGTAGAGCTACGAGCTTTAAGCAAGCCGAGCTACCAGCCATGATGCAAAAGGAGGCACCACAGACATAGATACCTCATGCTCATTGGTATACTGTAGAGATACTACCCACCAACATGGAGAACATGGATGCAGTGAATGGGATTTTCGGTCTTTGACCACTTTCTGGTGAGCTGATCTACTCACCTCCCACCGCTTTAGGAGCTGCATCTGCGCCTTGATCCTTGAAGGGTGGTGGCGTTCCTAAGGATGCAGGAATCTCGGTTTCCAGCCGAGTCTCATGCGAACCGTGAAATTTTTACCCACCAATTTCCAGGTGTGTTCAAAGGCAGCACGTGTTAGAAGTTCCAGTTGCTGACATACATCTTTTGTGGATAGACTGTACAATTTAGGACAATACATGATCAAGACTCTAGAACTATAAGCTATGCTTTCAAAATTAACGCACTTCTGTAAATAAGGGTGTGACGAATACATAATAATTATAAAAACGTGTCTGCACGAATAGGGCCACCAATCTAGTCATGGAGGTCAGTTTTCCTTTGTACCTTGCCGTCATGGTACTGCATGCGTAGTGACGTTAGTGGCGCCTGCATTCAATTGAGACTGATTGCCAAGACACACTGCATGGCCAAAGCAGACATATCCAGTATCACCAGTCGCAACATAGATCAGCGAATGAACCCTTTGTATACTATAGCCTACCCAGTTACTACGACGCGTCACAGTGATGGACACTGAACTGCATCCACTGGCTCGCAGATAACTAGCTTCTGTCACAACATGACAAGGGCGTGACTGACTCACTAAGCTGTGTTGCATAACTGTAGAGTTCGTGCTTGCCTTGGGCCATAGTGAATGCAGCAGTGGTCTGATAATGTTATTAACGAAACACATACATGTAGATTGTGGAGATAGTTGTAAAATTCTGGCTATGTTCAGGTGTTCCCTACTGCAGTAGTTACATTTCAATGAAACGTTTACAATTGACCACCCCTTCCCCCTCCCCCACCCCCAATCAAGGGTAGTTATAAAAATGTAAAGGCGGAGGTAGCCGATAGTCGACTGTAGGGCAAAAAGGTGTTATAGACCTACCGTTTTTTTTACAGAGCTCCCAATAGTGAAGGCGGCGCTCATCTCCTCTCCCTCGCCTTTGCCCCCTCCCCCCTTCCCTCCCCCTCGCCTTTGCCACTTAGTTTGACTTTGTCGATTTGGATTGAATGTACTCCCCCCCCCCCCACTTGCTGATTTATGAGCTGCTCATGACACCATGATCCTTGTGGATTGTTGGCGTGGTCCTAAAATTCAGATGTTTTACTTTTCTGTGTTTAGTGTAGCCCAGCGACCTTTACGAGTGTGCTGAGGACGCATGCATCATATGAATGGTAGTATGCTAATAAACACTGAAGAGATGTATTTCAAGTTCCCACATCATGAGCATTCTAGTGTGGCAGTAGCATGTAACGGGTTTGATGGTAGTGACATAGGGCGTTGGGTCTCTTTAGGGAATGATTGCAGTGACATAGGGCGTTTTGGGTCTCTCTAGGGAAGCATGACACTGGATGGCGGTGAAGATACCACTTTCACAGCCGCACCAGTAGTGTTTTGGCCAGAGTCAAGGCATGGCAAAGCTTTAGTGTGGATAAACGGCCTTTGAACTGTCAGTCTGTGAGTGTGGGTGTGTCTGTGTATCAAGGTCGAGGGATGTCACTGTATGTGTGTGTGCGCGTGTGTGTGTGTGTGTATCACTGTGTGTATAATGTGTGTGTGTGTGTGTGTGTGTGTGTGTGTGTGTGTGTGTGTGTGTGTGTGTGTGTGTGTGTGTGTGTGTGTGTGTGTATAATGTGTGTGTGTGTGTGTGTGTGTGTGTGTGTGTGTGTGTGTGTGTGTGTGTGTGTGTGTGTGTGTCAGTGAGCAACTATGAATTTGAAACTGACAGGATGCACTTGTTGCTGGTACCAATTATCCTCAAGTGGATGCTTACCCCCACTGTTTAGCAAAATGGGTAGAAGAGTGCTTTCCATGTGGCTTGAACCTGAGAATCGTAAACATCATGATGCATCCTGTCACACTGACCGGGTGTGTGTTCGTGATCAGGGTAACTGATTTAATTGTCTCCAAGTGATGTGTACAAGGTACGACTTGCCCTTACTCACTACTGAGTACCACATTTTGTTTCTTTATAGGGGATTCACACCATGTGAAAATGAAAAGTGGACAACCTGCCCATGGGCACCCCCCCCCCCCCCAGCAAGTTTATGTCTATCAAGATTTTGCACGCGTTGAGTTTGTGCGTTGTGTGAATATCCTATTACTGTCCCACCCAAGCTAGCCAAAGGCAATGGGTGAGAAAGTGATGCACGCCGCAATCTGGGAAGATAGATACAGTAAAAAAAAGAAGAGAAATTATCATGCCCGTTCCCAAAGGGCCGCTAACACCCGGTAAAGCCGAGCGGCAGATGCAGTGCCCAGCGGTGGGTACTGTACCAGCTCAAACACAAGCCCCCTCTCAAATAGAGTCCACCTATCAGAGGCCATCGAAATATTAAAGCCCCGTCTTGTCTTGTAAATGCCCGGTGCTATGATCCGTAGGACGCAGTGCAGTACATGAACCGTGTGCAGTATGCATGCGCAGTAAGCCTTATACACGTTGCACACATGCACGAAATCCCGTAGAATCCCGTAGTAGACCCGCCTGGGTGTTGAATGTGCAGGACCCCTATTGTGTTTACTGCTATTTCCACAACGAAATGGGCCCTGAAGGCAGTTCTTACGAAAACGATTTTTTCTGACAACGTGAAGAAGCTGGAAAGCGATTGTTTGCCGTTAATTCTGTGGCTAAAATTGGTCAAATGCCCATGCATAGCACACAACGAACAACCAAACGGGTATGTACGCACCTACCATCCTAGTAAAGAACTAGCGTTACTGCGTACATCTGTACCACGTACAGTGTAACGATGCCTGGTCGTAGGCTATGATTCCGAGACCTCCGGTCGGATGAGCCTCGCCAACCACATCGGCATATCGCCCCTACTCCCCTTTGTCTTGTTGTCCAGTGTCATTTCAGTTGTCCTCTTCCCCTGATTATTAGTAGGGCTGTGTTTTTTAGTAAAAAATAAATAAAATAAAAAAGTGCTGGGAACTGAAATCCGACCCCCTTGGCGGCGCGGCTACATAAGGTCCATGGTGCACTTATTTTTCTTTCTTTTTTTTACTAAG